TCTCATTTTCTTCCACAAAAAAATGTGCAATTATCACAAAGCTTGCGAATATATTTTTTTTATTATGCAAATTAATTCCCACTTTTTGGGCTATTTTTCATAAAAATCTGAATGATTTCGAAATTTAAGTCCATTGTCCTCTTTTAAACTCTCCTTCATTGAAACAATTTATAAGAAATGTATAGATAATTTTGGATGTTTCACGAGCTTAGTCGTGGAACATTAGTCGATTGTTCGGTGATCCTAGTGTTAAATTCACTATTCTGCATCCGGCAGAGTGGCCTAACTAATCCAATCCCAACATTTTTAACGGTTGCGTATGTATAATCAGATGCTAATTTATATTTTAGCGAGGAATGGTGAGGCAAGACAAGATACCTCAGGCACGCGACAGTAAATCTCGTTATCCCAGTCGGCAGGCTTCATATCGACTGTGAAGTTTTTCAACTTCCAAAATTTGAAAAATTCACTTTAAAATATAGATGCTGCATCAGCGAGACATTGCACTGGGTATAAAAATTTGAAAGATAGACACACAAATACAAATAGTAATTTCTTAAAAGCACAATTAATCAATTTTTTCTGAAAGTACACTTCGCATCATGATGAAAAAATTTTGATTCCATGTAACAAAAAAAAATTCGTGCAAAATTATCTCAAAATATCATTTATTAAGGATGTATTCTTTCGAATTTTTCAGTGGGTGACAAAATCAAAATATAGTGGCCGATTCATTCATTACTTAGTAGGAGCACCTTTCCTCTATTTTCGTTAGAATGCAAAACTAAAAACCCTGCACAGTTAAAGTCGACATGGTGAGAGTAACTAATAACTTGGGGGGCTTACATCATTATCGCATTTGTCACTGGAACACTGAATCAAGTAAAAATTTCCTCCGTCCTGGCGTCCTCATGTCGATACCCTGAATTTCATTTGATGATTGGCATGAGTGTCTGAATTATTGCCGCTGACTCACGTTTCGTTTGATAGGTACAGGTTTACAATACAATTACGGACCAGGCAATAAGTCCAGCAGCAGAAATATATAAGTTATTTATTTTCATATGTATAGGCAGATAAAGTATTATAGTCCACCATGGAATATTTTCTTGAAAGAAAACGAAACTTTGAGGGGAAGCCCTTTGAAACAACATCTGCGGAAGCTTCACAGCACTGACGTGCCTGACCCAGCCCTGGCCCCTGCACTACCAGACTCTGAATTACATAAAAAAATATAGTAAAGGAACAGAGCTTTTCTTCATTCAATGAGCGATTCTTTCGCTTAAAGAAGGGATTAGATCTAGATGAGATTCAATATTTAAGAAATGAAAAAGTTATTTAGTAAAGCCTAGCAAGTTACGGACCAGCCGACCGGCGACCAGGCAATAAGTCCAGCAGCTATCTCAATCAATCGTCAGTTATGGAAAGATCGGGTTCCAAAAGCCGGATCCCTTGTGAATCAAGTCACGAAAAGTTCACGAATCGGCAACAGGCCATGGGCCTATTCCTTCAATGCCGACACTTCTATTATATTCTATTCAATTCTATTCTAGGTGAAATCTTCCTAGCGCTGCGACCCCAACCAGCGCGGGTAAAATTCTATATGGAGTCTACGGGTTCAAGGGCACGGGCGGTTTTGGCTCATCGACGGCTGACTTTTCCGATTTCCCAGACGGCCTCGCAAATTTTTACAAACATCCCAGACATTCTCCGCAACCATTTGCTCAGTTGTCAGCTGAATATATGATTTTTTAACTATAAAAATTGCTGGGCCTAAGTAGTTTTACTTTCCGTCCGGTATAATAAACACGCATAGCTCTGATGATGGATCTGTAGCTCGCTGCTTGAAGACGGTAACCACAAATGGGTTTCCTCGTGAAGATTATTGTTTGTTGAAATGCTTTGACTGCTCTTTTTATTTCCGTTGTTCATGTTGAACGATAAATAGTTCTGTGCCTTTACAATAAGTTTTTTTGTGTAATTCAGAGGATTGCCTGCTAGTGGAGGCGGCAGGGCAGTGAAGCTCCCCCAGTAGTTGTTTCAAAAAGCTTCCCCTTCGAAACTTCGTTTTTTACGGAAATCTTCTATGGTGGACTGTAATTTTCTATCATCTCGGAACACTCAAATAAATAAGTAAAATAACGTCTTTACTTTTTTAATATTGAATCTCTTCTTGTCATAACCACTTCCTTAAGTGAATAAATCGCTTATCAATATTATTTTGCTGGTCAAAGTTAAGTTGTGGCTACAAAACTTTGCTCGTGTTCATCGCCATCATGTAATGCTGAAAAATAATAGGACGATAATTTTCGGTATTGGTAAATTACCAATCATATAATGTATCAATTTAATTGATCATTCATGAGGAGTATTTCATCTGAAATAAGCAATAGAAATTTATATATAACATTCATGATTGTAAACCGGTTTGTTTACAATCGTGGTGATGCTAACTAATGTTAACTAATATGTGATATGGTGATGTTAACTAATTACTTACAATTTATACCGAGATGGCATTTGTATATCGAATCATTATTTATAAAATTTTCTCCGATTACATTTAGATCAACTGAATTTTGTAATGTTCGAAATTTCACAATAAAAATTTATCGAATGATATACACATATTCAACATGTTTTGTTTAAATATTTTCTCATAACATTCTTTACTCTAATATTCTACGATAATATGAATAGCTTATTAAGATCTCAATAAACATGGCTAATCGGATGAACGTTGCGTCACTTACGACTTTCAATTGTTCACTGACCTTATTCAACCGCACGGTCCATGATGCAAATTTTCTTAGATGGCGTCAAATTTTCTTAGATGGCGTCATTTTTAATAAATCAGCGAAATTTTCCGCAATCATTTGTTTCACATGAAATTATTTATTTATTTTCAATACGAGGCCCATGTTTCTTTTATGTAAACATTTGTAGCTTGGAGGCTTGCTCGTCTTATCCTCAGGTAGGTTATCAGTTATCCACATTATTGGTTATTAAAAATTTATTCCCTCATTTTATTTGATCGCTTTGACCGATAAGCGAAACTGTTACTTAAGTAAGATAAAAGTTTAGTGGATGGTCGTGGTATATAGGCGGGCAATCGAAAATGTGGTTTTAGTGAGTCTGGCTGCAAATTCGTTTTCTGTGATCGATTATTTTTATGGCTGACTGGAATATGGAGATTTTCTGAAACTCGCAACGTAATTCACCAAATGTATTCATTTCATTGTGCTAGCACAAGTTGGAAGACAATCATATAACTTCTTTTATCCTCTTCAATCAATTCTGAAATTTATACACCCACCTGTTTGATGCTAAAAATATCATGGTTGCAATTAAATTGAACGCTCTGGGTACATACCCCTGCATAATGAACTATATTTTTGTTCCATAGAACAGAGATCATGGCATTATATCACAGTACTATTATATCATTATATATTACATTATATTACAGAACTACAGTTAATTTCTCCCCAGGCTATTAAATAATTCATTAATGAACGAGAATATATTCATGGGTCCATATTCCCTTGACCCCGTCAATTGCGGGCGGTGCAGACCTCCCTGATTAGTAACGCCAGGCCTTCCTTGTAAATTTTTCAATGGCTAAGTTGCCAACTCAGACTCAATCAAGTGAATAAGTTGATTCAGAATTATTTTCGCTGCTCATGAATGATAAAGCTTGAGATCTTAGTCTCCTGGTGATTTTTTTTTATTTAGTCACCCACTAAGAAAATTTGGACATTTTATGTTTTTTTTTCAGAAAGACGTTGGTGTTATGCTCTGAATTCTATCTTTTTCTCCGGTGACAAATTAGATTTCATCTTTTTTTGATGGGTTTCATCAATTTAAAAAATTGAAATGATTAGGTGTTGTTTATTTTTCATATTTGTGTCAAAATGTCCACTTAATTTGGTGGGGCCATCATTTTCCTCCGTTATTTATTAATATCTTATTCGAACAATAATAAGTAAAAGTTACATATTTTAGAAGTTTAGCAACTTCAATAAGCCGAATCTTATGTTCTCGTGTTAACGTATAGGCACGTCGATGCACATTACAGCGTCTAAAGACTGCAATCTGGGATACGGTTTTCTCTTTAGACTTATTTTTAAATGTGCCTCATTTCTTTTTCAAAATGCTTGGTTCCCGTGTAGTGGATTAGACTATATTCAACTGCAAATCGAAAGACCGAGTGGTTAAAATCGCTAATATAGTTCAACGAGTTGGGGGTTCAAAACCTGCAACTAGTTGTAAGAATTATGGTCGGAATTGGCCAGGTGGTCGAGTGGTTAAGCATCGGCGATAGCTCTGCATGGTCTAATGAATTATCCTGCCACTTGTGGTCTGTCCTGTTTTGGTCTGCCGGTATGCTGGATACCACGTGATGTCCACGAAGCTTTGTTTTTGCATTAATCAGCTTCATGGATATTGTATTCCTGGATTATCATTCCCATTATATCAAATCGATGATAAATTGTACGAAGTTAGACATGGACATGTTTATAACACAGCAAGAGACACATGAAATAGATGCATTATATTTTAAAATCTTCATTGTTCTATTACATGAAATGTTCGATCTCATGTTGATGATTTACTTCAGTAGCCCATCGCAGAAAATGATCGGCAATTGCGTGTTCATCTTTTTGGAGGCGGACTGTTTCAAATATTTTCTAGAAAATGGTTTAAATGCATCAAAAATAACAAAGGAGGTCCGTCCTTGATTAAACGAATTATTAGCTTATTTCCTATCTAGCAGCGGACACGACAGCGGGAGGAGGTGTTGTGTGGGTGACGGAGTTCACAGGAGTTCGTAGTGTTTCGAGATGAGCAAAGAAAAATGTCATATGTTGATAAAGTCTAAATCGAAACGTCGTGTTGCGAGTTCGAAACCCTGAAAAGTTGTATAAAATTATGCAATGTCTATAATCAGCGACCGGCCATATATGGCATATCCTACATTGACTGCAATGTTGATATTGCTATAAGTAAAGAATTAATTTTATATGGACAGTGATGTCACTGCCTGCTTCAGGGCCAGTAGAGGCAGTGATGTCACTGCTTGCTTCTGGGTCAGTAGAGGCAGTGATGTCACTGCTCGCTTCAGGGCCAGTAGAGGCAGTGATGTCACTGCGCACTTCAGGGCCAGTAGAGGCAGTGATGTCACTGCGCACTTCAGGGTCAGTAGAGGCAGTGATGTCACTGCTCGCTTCTGGGTCAGTAGAGGCAGTGATGTCACTGCTCGCTTCAGGGTTAGTAGAGACAGTGATGTCACTGCGCACTTCAGGGCCAGTAGAGGCAGTGATGTCACTGCTCGTTTCAGGGTCAGTAGAGGCAGTGATGTCACTGCGCACTTCAGGGTCAGTAGAGGCAGTGAAGTCACTGCTCGCTTCAGGGTCAGTAGAGGCAGTGATATCACTGCTTGCTTCAGGGCCAGTAGAGGCAGTGATGTCACTGCGCACTTCAGGGTTAGTAGAGGCAGTGATGTCACTGCGCACTTCAGGGTCAGTAGAGGCAGTGATGTCACTGCTCGCTTCATGGTCAGGAGAGGCAGTGATGTCACTGCTTGCTTCAGGGTCAGTAGAGCAGTGATGTCACTGCTTGCTTCAGGGTCAGTAGAGGCAGTGATGTCACTGCTCGCTTCAGGGTCAGTAGAGGCAGTGATGTCACTGCTTGCTTCTGGGTCAGTAGAGGCAGTGATGTCACTGCTCGTTTCTGGGACAGTAGAGGCAGTGATGTCACTGCTTGCTTCAGGGTCAGTAGAGGCAGTGATGTCAGATATTTGTAGGAGGAGATAGATTTTCTAAAGTACCCTTTTATAGCCGTTTTCTATGAATTTCACGTTTTCTATATATTTTTTCGAAAAATTCATACGAGCAAAATGTTCTTATATTTACATTTTGCATATGTATGCGAAGTTTCATGATGATCGGATAATAACTGTAGAAGTTTTACCGGAGGTTAGCCGGTCCCCTTAAAGCCAAAGTTTAGACAACGCAAATAATTTTCGAGTTAAATATTCGTCTTTGAATTCATGATTACTCCGCGATTCGAGCGATGGAGTGAGATAATTAATATTTTTTAGTCACTCTGACAATTCTAAGATAACAATGTTGGAAAAATTACTACCTTATTCCAGGTCACCATAAGCTGAAATTCACTGTATTTTTCTCTGGGTAAATTTATGAATAATTCCGCCAATATAGCTTGCCGGCATGACAGCACATCCGACTGATGGCTGCATATATCATGCGGTCGTGACAAAAAAATTATTACAGATTACAGAGAAAAAATTGTTTTATGTGCAGCAATTTTCTGCACTGAAACACACACATACATGATGTATGTGCTCGTTGTGATAAAGGTTAATGAATATACTTACAATCGACAATGGCGGCTGAGCTTTCGCTGCTGTTGCAGAATAGTTTAGTCATAGCTCAAAAACGCGCGTGCTCAGTCATGGCGGATCGGTCTGCGCGCAGCTGCGTCGAATTATTCGATTTGCTATTCTTGCTCTCTGTAAAAAATATTTTTGATGCTCTTTGCACTTGTCATTGAAAAGATGAGTGCGGGGCGTAGACTCGTAGTAGGTGGACGTTCTTATATGTGGGAAGGTGCATTCCTTGCCTCGGAATTATTACATATACAAGTCATAGAGTCTAAGGTATGAAAAACACGTGAAATGTAATCATAATGTATAATGATAATTCACGGAGATATCCAAGTTGCTCACCTGCATTACATGTGACGTGCTTGCTAAGCTTTCTCAGAGTCACAGTAATTATCTGCATTGTCCATGTAGTAAAATAAGGAAGACTTGGCAATCCAGGCTATATTCGAACAAATCACCTGGAAACTTGTATATATTATTACGTATATATTATTCATAATCTTATTATAATTATATAATCTTATATATATATTATTCTTAAACTTGAAGGCATTCTACTATCACAGCAACTGGGCGCCACACAGCAGGTGGGCGCCACACAGCAAGTCACTGCGCTTTCAGTAGAATCATCAGGCAGTGACTGCACAGTCTGTGCAGTGAGGATCAAGGCAAGTCATTTCAACATTTATCGCAGTTGCCTTCATTATATCAACTCGGCTGCGTCCGTTACGATATCACCTCAAAACATAAATAAACTTTTACGTGCTGCACGATGATAATATCGAGCAAATTTTCGAACACGCATCTATTAATCTAAGTAGTATTGACGAATAATGTAATTCATGACGGTATATCGAATTTTAAGGACAATTTGCATGATTTTGTATATATTTCATTTTACACAAAACAAATACACATTGGAAAATTGAAATATAAAACATATTTTCAATGAAGTTTTTGACTATCAATAGCAAATATAATTTTCAGTTGGTAACTATTCTAAAACTCACATGCGTATCATACAAGTGATCACGTACATAAATCCAACGTCGAATATATTGACAATCCAATGTCACAATGGAGTTGTTGAATTCCCGTCATATCGCATGTTTCACTATTCAACAAAATGACCTCNTGGTTAACCAGCCACTAACTTGTGCTCTGTCAGGTCTGTGGTTAACCAGCCACTAACTTGTGCTCTGTCAGGTCTGTGGTTAACCTGCCACTAACTTGTGCTCTGTCAGGTCTGTGGTTAACCTGCCACTAACATGTGCTCTTCGCCGGACACCACGAGGCGGCCCGCTGTTCATCAGTAGCATAAATCATCCCGGAGAATGTAAGCGTAGATAATCATTCTTGTAGCTTCGATTTATAGCGAATTGTTAGAGCATGTATAGGGATTTCACGCAGCCAGTAAAACATGAAATGGAAGATTTTTATATGAAAATTAATATTAGTTGACAGAAGGTGTTAGGGATTTCAACGCTTCATGTTTTACTTCAGTTGCCCATCAAAGAAAATGATCGTTTAACACATTGCCACCTTTACAGGCAGACTGCTTCAAATATTTAACGAGGAACAGAAACTCAGTGCGTACTGAAAACACCGATGACATAACATCGTTAACATTGCACTAAGAGAATCAGGATAATCATAAAATCACCACCAACACATGCTAGTTCCTCATGAATTGATAGTAGAGGAATTTTCAGAAATTGGCTGGTCGACGCCACTGTAACTGTCGGCTCGTGCCGCTCGTGTCGTGCAGCTCGTGGTCACTGCTGCTGCTCGTAGTCGTGCAGCTCCTGGCCACTGCTGCTGCTCGTAGTCGTGCAGCTCGTGGTCACTGCTGCTAGCCCCACATTGAGCTGCTGTCACCCACCTGTTTGATCTTGGGCCCCACATTGAGCTGCTGTCACCCACCTGTTTGATCTTGGGCCTCACACTGAGCTACTGTCACCCACCTGTTTGATCTTGGGCCCCACATTGAGCTGCTATCACCCACCTGTTTGATCTTGGGCCCCACACTGAGCTACTGTCACCCACCTGTAAAGGTAAAGGTAATGACACAATAAATGGCAATGATAACATAGTGAGCAATGATACATTAATGATTAATGAGGTGGACCAACCTTCAGTCTACAAGCCTCACCAGATGGCAGTGCCATGTATTTATTACTATTAATGTTGAGCTAAATCATTCTGTGATTATGAGTTCATAATTAATAATACTGCTTGACTTCAGTTGTGTTACAGATGGCATTAACTCCATCAGGGAGAATGGGTCTGAGTATCTTAGGTATTCTAAGTGAGTGTTTTGTATGCAGCAGTCCCAGGTCATGCCGAGGCATACATATATACTGTATACAAGTATTGCAAAGACTGTATGCTGTGTACAAGTATTGAACAGACTGTATGCTGTGTACAAGTATTGAACAAACTGTATGCTGTGTACAAGTATAGCAAGCACTGTATGCTGTATACAAGTATTGCAAAGACTGTATGCTGTATACAAGTATTGCAAAGACTGTATGCTGTGTACAAGTATTGAACAGACTGTATGCTGTGTACAAGTATTGAACAGACTGTTTGCTGTGTACAAGTATTGAACAAACTGTATGCTGTGTACAAGTATAGCAAGAACTGTATGCTGTATACATATATTGGAAAGACTATGCTGTATACAAGTATTGCAAAGACTGTATGCTGCATACAAGATTGCAAAGACTGTATGCTGTGTACAAGTATAGCAAGCACTGTATGCTGTATACATGTATTGAAAAGACTGTATGCTGTATAAAAGTTTTGCAAAGACTGTATGGTGCATACAAGTATTGCAAAGACTGTATGCTGTATACAAGTATTGCACAGACTGTATGCTGTGTACAAGTATAGCAAGCACTGTATGCTGTATACATGAATTGGAAAGACTATGCTGTATACAAGTATTGCAAAGACTGTATGCTTTATACAAGTATTGCAAAGATTGTATGCTCTATACAAGTATTGCAAAGACTTTATGCTGTGTGCAAGTATTTTAAATCTATGCAACTGTTACTGAGACAATTTTTTGCTGAATGCTGAGATCTTGTGCATCCTTGTGCAGTCACCACAATTAACTTGAATTTTATTCAACAACAAAATTTTCATAAATTATTTAAATCAGTTTATCCAGCTTCTTTGCAAGTGATCTTGACTTTCTGAAGAAATTACAAATATTACCAGCTTCTTGACTTCAAGTTTGCTTTCTAGCAAGGTACTATTAAAATAATGTTCACATTAAAACATTGGTGACAATAAAAGGAAGATCTTGTGCAGAGTGAAACAATCATTTAAAACATTGGTGACAATAAAAGGAAGATCTTGTGCAGAGTGAAACAATCATTTAAAACATTGGTGACAATAAAAGGAAGATCTTGTGCAGAGTGACACAATCTTAAAACATTGGTGACAATAAAATGAAGATCTTTTGCAGAGTGACACAATCTTAAAACATTGGTGACAATAAAATGAAGATCTTGTGCAGAGTGACACAATCTTAAAACATTGGTGACAATAAAATGAAGATCTTGTGCAGAGTGACACAATCTTAAAACATTGGTGACAATAAAATGAAGATCTTGTGCAGAGTGACACAATCTTAAAACATTGGTGACAATAAAATGAAGATCTTGTGCAGAGTGACACAATCTTAAAACATTGGTGACAATAAAATGAAGATCTTGTGCAGAGTGACACAATCTTAAAACATTGGTGACAATAAAATGAAGATCTTGTGCAGAGTGACACAATCTTAAAACATTGGTGACAATAAAATGAAGATCTTGTGCAGAGTGACATAATCTTAAAACATTGGTGACAATAAAATGAAGATCTTGTGCAGAGTGACACAATCTTAAAACATTGGTGAAAATAAAAGGAAGATCTTGTGCAAAGTGATACAATTGTTTGATGAGCAATGATACAATATAAGTTTTAATTATTAATATCTCTTGGTTGCTTAAATTGCAAGTTAACCAGGAATTTAAAATCAAAGACAATGCAACAAAAGCTCACCATATCTTTATAAGAGAAAACGTTTCCAAGTTCGTCTCTATTGACAGTTCACAACACAAAGTTCAGTCCTAGAAACACAAATACGGTAATACGGCTCTGATGGAGAAAAGGGAACATCATTAAGTTTCAATTAGATCTTGGCTGTTGCTGGGCTGGTATCGTTGCAATTGTCTTTTATAAATACCTACATAAGATAAACTAGTACCGGCCCCAAAAATCATATGATATTTAGGTACCAATGTGGCTGATACTAGTTTATCCGCTACTGCAGAAGGAATTTATAACAGTTAAGACTTTATCAACACAAATGTATAAAATGTAAGGGCAGCAAAATTGCTGTCCCACTACATTAACCAGACCAGACCAGATGTATGGCACAACATGCATCACATCCACTCATCATCCATGTCCATCCATGCATTACATCCATATCCCCAATGCCATGGCTGCTTTTACATGAACACCTGCTTTGATTTCTCATCCACCTGTGGCTATTCAGGACAATTTCATGGGTGGCATGTCCCTATGGCTATTTAGGACACTTTCATGTGTGGCATGTCCCTATGGCTATTGAGGACACTTTCATGGGTAGAATGTTATTGGGGGGTTGGTTAAGGCTACTTTGCAGAGCACCCTCTTGGCTCTCTTATATGTTTCCCCCTTTTCCCTCTTATGTGTGTTAGTGTGTTTTCTATTTAAGTGTTTAACTATTTTATTAATCAACTAAAATCATTCTCATTCTTTTCAGGAGAGGTTAAGATCTGTAATTGATTATCTAAATTTATGTCAAAAACTATTCTAAAGTGTGGTGCTGGATAAATTGCTGTCCCACGCTCCCTACTCCCTAACCTCTCGAGTGATTTGCTTGGAAACTCCCCATAACCTCCTAATTCACTTGATATAGGATGCACTTATTGGTCATTGGTGTGCATCTTACTCATTGGTCCGTGTGCATTTCCTTGGTGTCATCTTTTGTTCAGCTTCAGT